TAAAGTCCGATTTTTAAATATTATACCTTTTTGAATTCGTACGGATCCCTATCAATTGGCATTCAAACAAATTAAAATTCAATGGGTTGAATATAGTTGTTTGCCCATAATCCTTTCATTTGTAAAGTCAACTTGATGATTTTTTTGAATATCTGGGCGCGGAGATATGACGTTCCAAAACGACATAACTCCGCGCGAAGCCAAACTCCAAATCACCACGTTTTTTTATCAAAATCAAAACTTTTTGATGATTTTCTTTGAATAACTCGGCTATATAAAGTCCGATTTTTAAATATTATACCTTTTTTAATTCGTACGGATCCCTATTATCAAATGGGATTCAAACAAATTAAAAATCAATGGGTCGAAAATAGTTGTTTGCCCATAAACCTTTCATTTATAAAGTCAACCTTTCTTGATGATTTTTTTGAATATCTGGGCGCGGAGATATGACGTTCCAAAACGACATAACTCCGCGCGAAGCCAAACTCCAAATCACCACGTTTTTTTTATCAAAATCAAAAATTTTTTGATGATTTTCTTTGAATAACTCGGCTATATAAAGTCCGATTTTGAAATATTATACCTTTTTGAATTCGTACGGATCCCTATTATTAATTGGCATGCAAACAAATTAAAAAAAAATGGGTTGAATATAGTTGTTTGCCCACAAACCTTTCATTTGTAAAGTCAACCTTTCTTGATGATTTTTTGAATATCTCGGCGGGGAGAAATGACGTTCTAAAATGACATACCTCCGCACGAAGCTATGGCCTTCTAAATCATCACGTTTTTTTTATCAAAATCTTGATGATTTTTTTGAATATCTCGGCGGGAGATATGTCGTTCCAAAACGACATAACTCCACGCGAAGCTATGGCCTTCCAAATCATCACGTTTTTTTTATCAAAATCGGGATCAGTTCGAAAATCAAAACTTTTTTGATGATTTTTTTTTAATAACTCGGCTATATAAAGTCCGATTCTTAAATATTATACATTTTTTTAATTCGTACGGATCCCTATTATCAATTGGCATTCAAACAAATTAAATATCAATGGGTTGAATGTAGTTGTGGGGACATAAACCTTTCATTTGTAAAGTGGTCCTTTCTTGATGATTTTTTTGAATATCTGGGCGCGGAGATATGACGTTCCAAAACGACATAACTCCGCGCGAAGCTATGACCTCCCAAATCATCACGTTTTTTAATCAAAATCGGGATCGGTTCGAAAATCAAAACTTTTTTGATGACTTTTTTTGAATAACTCGGCTAAATAAAGTCCGATTTTTAAATTTTATACCTTTTTGAATTCGTACGGATCCCTATTATCAATTGGCATTCAAACAAATTAAAAATCTATGGGTTGAATATAGTTGTTTGCCCATAAACCTTTCATTTGTAAAGTCAACCTTTCTTGATGATTATTTTGAATATCTCGGCGGGGAGATATGACGTTCTAAAACGACATAACTCCGCGCGAAGCTATGACCTTCCAAATCATCACGTTTTTTTTATCATAATCTGGATCGGTTAGAAAATCAAAACTTTTTTGATGATTTTCTTTGAATATCTCGGCTATGACCTTCCAAATCATCACGTTTTTTTTTATCAAAATCGGGATCGGTTCGAAAATCAAAACTTTTTTGATGATTTTCTTTGAATAACTCGGCTAAATAATGTCCGATTTTTAAATATTATACCTTTTTGAATTCGTACGGATCTCTATTATTAATTGGCATTCAAACAAATAAAAAATAAATGGGTTGAATATAGTTGTTTGCCCATAAACCTTTCATTTGTAAAGTCAACCTTTCTTGATGATTATTTTGAATATCTCGGCGGGGAGATATGACGTTCTAAAACGACATAACTCCGCGCGAAGCTATGACCTTCCAAATCATCACGTTTTTTTTATCATAATCTGGATCGGTTCGAAAATCAAAACTTTTTTGATGATTTTCTTTGAATAACTCGGCTAAATAATGTCCGACTTTTAAATATTATACCTTTTTTAATTCGTACGGATCCCTATTATCAATTGGCATTCAAACAAATTAAAAATCAATGGGTTGAATATAGTTGTTTGCCCATAAACCTTTCATTTGTAAAGTCAACCTTTCTTGATGATTTTTTTGAATATCTCGGCGGGGAGATATGACGTTCCAAAACGACATAACTCCGCGCGAAGCTATGACCTTCCAAATCATCACGTTTTTTTATCAAAATCAAAACTTTATTGATGATTTTTTTTTAATAACTCGGCTATATAAAGTCAGATTTTTAAATATAATACCTTTTTGAATTCGTACGGATCCCTATTATTAATTGGCATTCAAACAAATTAAAAATCAATGGCTTGAATATAGTTGTTTGCCCATAAACCTTTCATTTGAAAAGTCAAACTCTCTTGATGATTTTTTTGAATATCTCGGCGCGGAGATATGACGTTCTAAAACGACATAACTCCGCGCGAAGCTATGACCTTCCAATCAAATCAAAACTTTTTTGATGATTTTTTTTGAATAACTCGGGTATATAAAGTCTGATTTTTAAATATTATACCTTTTTGAATTTGTACGGATCCCTATTATCAATTGGCATTCAAACAAATTAAAAATCAATGGGTTGAATATAGTTGTGGGCCCATAAACGATTCATTTGTAAAGTCAACCTTTCTTGATGATTTTTTTGAATATCTCGGCGGGGAGATATGACGTTCCAAAACGACATAACTCCACGCGAAGTTATGACCTTCCAAATCAGCGCCTTTTTTATCAAAATCGGGATTGGTTCGAAAATCAACACTTTTTCGATGTTTTTTTTTTAATAACTCGTCTAAATAATTTCCGATTTTTAAATATTATACCTTTTTGAATTCGTACGGATCCCTATTATTAATTAGCATTCAAACAAATTAAAAATCAATGGCTTGAATATAGTTGTGGGCCCATAAACGATTCATTTGTAAAGTCAACCTTACTTGATGTTTTTTTTGAATATCTCGACCAAATAATGTCACATTTTGGAATTGTATACCATTTTCGACTCGTAAGGATCAGTACTATCGATTGGCATCAAAATAATAACATCGTAAATTTTGACCCAAATCTGCCAAAATAGCAAGGAGTTACATAACGTTTATTATCAAAATCGGGATCGGTTCAAAAATCAAAACTTTTTGATGATTTTTTTTAAATAACTCGGCTAAATAAAGTCAGATATTATTATACCTTTTTAAATTCGATAAATATTATACCTTTTTAAATCCGTACGGATCCCTACTATTTAATGGCTTTTAATTTAATTAAAAATTCCCAATTTTTAGGTATTATTTCTCGAATAATATACAGAGATCCACTATTTCTTATTTGATAGCAATCTCAATGTTAAATTAAATAACATTAAATTAAATTTAACAGATAGTTTATTTTGACAAGCACTTAAGTTTGTTATCAAGGGATGTGACACGTTCGCAGAATTAGTTAAAACTAAAAATTAAACTTGGGCTCACAATTGTGACCCTTAACCAGAAATATCACGTCTCGTTCGATTTACTACTTTGTTATTGTTGTTGTTGCTTAATTAAGCGGCGTTTATGTAAACATGGCGCCTAGCTTGAATTATGTTCCCATGAACTGCGCTGACTTGACGCCCACGCGCAACCTTAGACTAAAACAACAACAACAACGAGAACAACAAAAACAACAACAGCAGAGGCAATTGCTGCCACACGCCACAAGTCTTGAGTTTTGGCTGCTGTTGCAACTAGTCCAGCCAGTGGCAGCACATTTGAACCTGCCGCCAGTTGTGGCAGCTCCAAGTTGATTAATATCATCAGTCGCCGGCTTTGGCTGCGGGTGGAGCTGTTAATGCTGCCACAGTCCGCCCCGCCCGCTCAGTCCAAGGAGAGTTATTGTTAATGTTCATGACAGCTCGTGAATATGCTATTTAACGCCCGATTAACGACCGCCCAGCGTTTACTTTTGCATGCGGCGATGCTCCTCTCGCCTTTGTTTGTTTACTTAACTCTGCCGGCTAATTAGTTGCACTCCATTATGTCGATTGGCTCTGGCTCTGACTGTGGCTGTGGCTGTGGCTGCGGTGCCTTGGGCAACATGCGAGACTCAATCCATGCATGAAATATCACGCCAATTACGGGCCACAGCTCGAGTTAAGCTGAGAGCTTGGTCGGAGTCCGGTCCACAGACTCGACAGCTCGCACAGTGGCTGCTGTAAGCGTGCGCCGCAAATTGAATCAATTAAATAACAAAAAGCAATACACCCAAATTGATTAACTCGCTCCGCCACAAACTATAAATACTCTAACAAAACAAATAGTTTATAACGAACCGACAAACGATTAATAATTGCAATTTTATTTTGAGCAAACTTGAGATACATTCAATCGCAGATATGGATATATGAGATATTCAAAAAGTAAACATTAAGTGTAGTATACTAAGGTATAAAAAGAAAGATGTAGAAACAAGCTAAGAAAAACTCAGAAAAATAAAAATGGAAAGTAAATAAAATCCCATTTAAAACAAATAGTTTTGAAATTATATATTATGATATGAAATGATATATTATGATATATGAAATGATATATTATTTCTTCAGTTTAATTTCCACTCTTATTACTTAATAGCTCTATTATAAGAAAAACTCTATAAGCATAAAGAGGCAGACTGCATTATCTAAGTAGATAAACATAGTTTAGCTACTAAACAAAAAGTTGTCCAACTGAACGACTCAGTCGATATGCTGTAAAGCTCAGGTAGGGTATTAACAACCCAGAGAGCAAAAACTGTAAACCGTCAACGTTAAGTGATTTTCGTCAATTATGTTTTACGTCTGTGCGTCTCATTAAACATTTATAAAATTGATTGGGTCGAAGGAGGGGGGGACTATTATTATTATTATGATGTCATAAACGTGTGTGTGATGTTATGTGCAATGCTAATCTCTCTCTCTCTCTCCGTCTCTCTCCTTATAGATGTCCCATTATCGCTTGCTGACACAGCTGGCCAGGCTCCTGTTCCTGCTGGTCGCACTGCAGCCAATCCAAGCTGAGCCGGCGGGCTACCTCTACGATCGCCCGGGCACGGCTCCATCGGCGCCCGACTCGTCCATCTATACGGGCCATCATTTTGCGCCGCTGCCCACGGTGCAGCCGCTGCCACCGGTGCCGGCGCTGCCGCCGCTGCCCACAGCGCATGTGCCTATTCCCAGGAGTCGTCCGCAGCCCACGGGCAGTATCTTGAGCCGTTATCTGCCGGCACAGCCAGCTACTCCGGCTGTGAGCAGCTACTCGTCACCGTCCTTTAGCTCGCCGCAATCCTCCATCAGCTACCATGGCCAGGCGGGACATTTTGCACAGCAGTCGGCGCCGCAATTGCTGCAGCAGCCCATCCATGTGCCGAGTGCTCCGGCTGCTGCACAGCCGCTGCGCATTCCGTATGGCAAGCAGGCGCTGTTCGCGCCGGGCGAGTCGTATGTGGCCAATGGACGCCAGCTGAAGCAGTACGCGGTCATCGAGATCATTGACAACGACATCAACGAGAATCCGGCGCCGTTTCTCAGCTCCGGCTTTTTCGATAGGTATCGGGCGCATTTGGGTGCCACCGGTACTGGCGCCACGGGCAGCGGCCTCCAGCTGGACTCGCGTGCCAACGCCTTGTTACTGGAGCAGCAGGCGCTGAGCCTGCAGCCGCGTTTGCAGAGCCAGAATCAGGGTCAGAGCGATGCCATTGCCTTGGGCTCCGGTGGCCTGGGCTACATCCGTCTACCCAATGGCAATGTGTACCTGGGCTCCGGCTCTCTGGGCTATATCAGTGGCCAGCAGCGTGTCGCCTCCGTTCTGGATGCACGCACACGTTCCGAGTCCACCTCGGATGCGTTGCACTTCGGTCACGGACCGTTGGGTGGTGCGGATAACTTTTTGAGATTTAAATAAGCATTTTAAAATTGTTTATTGTAAATATTTAAATAAAACAAAACAGTTTTATTGTGTAGTTTTTAAGCATCTTTTAATATCATTTTACACATAATTGCAAGAATTTTGTATGATTTCCTATGCGCACCGCTGAATATTCACAAAATAAATGCATTGAAAATGGATAAAAATATGTGTTTTTTTTTTTTTAATTTACTGCTTGGGATTATTTTTATTTTGCAGCTGCTACTAAATCAATTAATCTTCAAATAACAAACAACAAATTGCTTTGAACAGATTCAAATATTCATCTTGCGCGCCTTAAAGCTTTACAGTATTAATCACTGGCTAATCGATAAATCTGCACAGTTAAGCAACAGTACCATTTTGAGTCGCACATCACATTTAATTCAGTGGTAACAGCTGTTATTTGAGCCCGCGTTCGAAACAGCTGATGTACAGACCTGCCAACCTATTATTTACACAGCATGCTGCTAGAGTGCCTGTAATACACATGTTGCTTGGCAACATTTTCAGTCGATATACTCGATACCCACATACTATCGACTTTGGCTAGCTGGAAGTATTCTTCTTTGAAATTCGTGCGGTGCGGTTGTGCGCGTCGGACAAAAATGAGCCAAATGAGCGTTTTCCCAATAGTTTAAAACACCAAACACGCGCAAAACACTGCAGACTTCGCGAAACACGCTAAAAGCAAAAGTTAACAGCAAAACACGGTTAATCAAATTTCGACAAGACGCCCAAGGCTGCTCACCAGTTTTTTGTAAAACAGCTGCAAATAAGTTCAACTGAGTGAAACAAATTGTTTCGAAAAAAAAAACACAGTTGGATGCTGTGCAAAAAGCAACAACTCGACGACAAAAATATCGTATATGCGTCTTATGCTGTGCCTGTGTGCGCCCTAAAAGTGTGCGATTGTATGTGTGTGCGTGTGTGGTCCAGTTTTGTGTATAACAAAAAGATTTTTGCGCTGAGTATCCTTTGAAGGTGCTACTAAGGTTGTATGTGTATTGTGCAAAAGCTGAGCTGCAGCGCAGGATAACGCATTAGTCATCAGCGAAAACAGCAGCAGAGCAGCGGGCAGCGCAGCCAGCGCATCCTGTCTGTTGGTGCCGGTTCACACACAAATAAAAAAAGCAATAAAAACAACAAAAAAAGCTACAGCACTAACAGCAACAACAACAACAACGACAACAACTTGTTCTCCATGCATCGTTTAACCCCTGCGTGCGTGTAACAACAATAACAACAACCAAAAGAACGCAGGCAAAAAGGAAATTGAGAATGGAGCGTAAATTCACGCGCGGCTTGAATAAGCCGGGCATGGCCGCACAGCTGAGAGAGAGCGTCTCTCAGGTGGTGCGTGAGAGCGCAGTTTTGGTAAGTTGACTTTTTTCAGTTGTTTTTGTTTTTGCCGTTTGTTGTTATTGCATTTGCATTTGTTTCTCTTCGTGTTTTGTTCCCTATTTTCTAGCCTTGCTGCGTCTATGCTGTGGGTGTGTCCCGTTGCATGTCAGCCTATTGCCGTTGTAGTTGTTGTGTGCAGTAAAAAAAATAGCTGTAAATTTATATGATTATTTTGTATACAGTTTTCGAGCAGTCTTCAATGTTTTATTTGTTCCTTCACATTCCATGTTCGCTTTCCGCTCGTGTTGCAATGCATCGCATTTTTGTCAGTTTTGGCCAGTGTTGCCAACTTTTCAGCTGCAAAAAAGCTAATTTCAAGTTGAAATGGTTTACAGCAAAAAACTAAATCGTATATTAAATTATTTAAAAATATGTTTAAATTTTTTACTTTTGTTACAATCTCATATAATTTTGTAAATAGTTAAGGTTCATAATTATTGATAGATTTACTTTGAAAGCACTGGCAACACTGGTTTTGGCAAACATCCAAAATGTTTGACTTCTGCGTTGTCTAATCATATTTCTCATTCTCTCGCTCTGTGTGTCTCGCAGCTAAACAAATCTTTTGGCACATTTTTAATTTTATTCGATGACGTTTGTGAAATGCTTTGCAAGGCAAATTAAGCTGAAACTTAATGTTGCATAAGCAACAACAACTGAAAAAGCAACAAATGACAAGGGAGGGGGCCCTACAGACACGTTGACTTCTCAACTTGTTCTTGTCATCGCAAGTTTACTCAGTTGTTGTTATTGTTCTCTCTCTCTCTGTCCCTCTCTCTCTCTCTCTTTAATAATAATCTTAGGGGGCTAGCAGCTGCCAAGGCCGTGAGATTTGAAATACCGCAACTTCCAGTTTTGTTTACATACATGATTAAAAAAAAAAAAAAATGATAATGAAGTGTTTGCCTTAAACAGCACAGTCAAGCATGCCTACAGAGAGAGAACACTCAGCAAGAACTAAAAAAAAAAAATTTTTATAATAAATTATATTAAAAGCAACTCTATGATTATGGCTATAATATGTTATACCATAATGCATATTGAGCTCAACTCTGATTAGCTTACTTTTATGACTGGGAATTATGTTCTTATTGCCAGTTGGAATCGGTTTTAAAGAAATCAACTTGAACAAATCACATTTTCTTTCATTTCTGTACTTTAATTAGTTTTACAAAAGGGTTTGCTTGGACTATTGTAAATTTAATTAATCACCTTCCAATTCTTTAGTTAAATTTTGTTAATTAAATGACTGATTAGCTCGTTGACACATACAAATCATATATATTTGCCTATTCAGTCTTGCCCCTCGCAGCGAGGGTTTTAAGAAATGACGCTTTAAATTATAACAAGACAAACCCTAATACAAATAGGTTCATTTGTTATCTACAAGACGCGCCTTTAACAAGTTTCAATGTTTAAACAAAGCGAAACATTGGGTACTTCACAGGCCGAACTTCGTGTCATCCCCATTTTATTAATAGACAAAAGAAATGCCGTAGCTGAAAATATGTCAGAGTTTAAGCCAATGAACTGTTGTCTAACTACACTGACCCCAAAAATTAATAAAAGGTTAAATACGCTGCGAGTGTCAACATATTTAATTAATACGATTATGAGCATGGACCTGGATGGGGTTGGAGAATGGGCCTTGGGCAGCAGATAAGGTAATGATAACTAAGGCAAATGCTCGTTTTTGTTTTGCCAAATTCAAATTTGGGCCAACAGCAAGCCGAACGAGTGGCTACAGTGAAATTTGCAAAAAAAAAAAGCGGATACTATTTGTGCAAGACCCGTAACAAGCAGCTATTATTAAATTTATATATTTAATATGCCCTGTTTTCAAACAGATAATGAGTATATTAGCCAAGTGTCAGGTTCGACCTTAGCTTAGCCAATTCCAAAATGTAAAAACCTTTTTTTTAAGTTTTGGAGCCAGTTTCAATAGTATCTGACTATCCATATAACTGATTTCGAGAAACTTCCCTGGTTGAGCTGCCTTATGCCACGCTCATTTTCGAAGCATCTAAGTATCCTTTAATTTTCCACTTGCATTTTGAAGCACAGTTCCGTCAAGTCACATAAACGCAGTCAAACGATTCCCACTTCAACGATTTTCAATTATTTTCCTATTTTTTTTTATTTAATTTTTACTGTGGCCTGATTGACTGGAAATTGATTTATAAGTACGTACGATATTTGTGCTGTGGTATCTCTAGGCACTCTCACTTGCCGCATTATTACACACTAATTCAATTAGTTAGAGGAAAGAGAGAGAGAGAGAGAGAGTGGTAAAGGAAGAGGGGGCAGAGGTGTGTGCCCGCCCACAACATGGATCGCTTGGAGCACACTCTAATTGGCATTGAAGCACGCCCAATGTTGCCTCCCATAATAATAATATGATTTTGTGTGCTGCGGGCCAAGTAATGTAATTAGTGGAACAGTTAGCAGCCGTCACACGTGGAGCATGATGCAGCAGCATTCAAATCCGAAATGAAGTCACGCCCCAAACCCGCAGATACGCCACATATTTGCTTTTATTATTCACACCCACTGACACAGCTTCACAACTAATGATATCGGTGCACATTGGCATCAAGCGAACATTGCACATTACTCATAACTAAAAATATTTATGCATTGCCCAATTTACATCATATTGCCTTAAGAATATGTATTTTTAATAAACTCAATCCTTAAAAATAAAACGTCGAGTAATGCTTAAAAGTAAAGCACTCGAAATCGATATTTAGTGCTATAATAGTAGGTATTAAAGAAAGCCGATAATTCGTTCTGCGTGATATACGAGGATATATATTTTGATTTTCAAATCTATAGCTTCTTTAGGTTTTGAGAGCTAGGAGCTCATACAGACCGACATGTCTTAGCTCGAAACTTGAATTCCATTCCAACAATTTGTATGCAGAAACTCTTAACAGCATGAACATATATATCATAGAGTACTAAGTGCATTGTACAGAGTCCCATTGCACTTACGAGCCATGAGTTCCTACTTCAGATGCCTGTTTTTCATTAAAATACTTGCGCTTTGCTGCTTATTGTTCACATGTGTGCACACACACACACACACACACACATTGAGAGATTAACTTAAGTGAAAAGCAAAATCTTGTAAGCCGCCAGTTCGTCTAAGCTTTTAAATAAGTCACGACTCGGGATCTAGAATTTGCTTAGCAAGCATGCGATAATGCTGAGAACTTGTAATTTTGTAGATTAAAATAAGCAAACATTTGTGATAACGCGACAGCTGTAGAGTTTTGTTTAAACTGTTTAGTTGAACAGAGAATTTAGCAATTTGAAAACTACTCAGATATTGCTCTAATGTGCGCCAATCATTATTTCAGTATTTACACAATCAATTTTTAAAACTAATCAAGTACATATATCATTTTCGGATACTTCATTGCCTTTATAAATCACATATATATCTTAAAACCTTGCAACATTGATTTATGATAAGCTGTGCTTCGTGTTCCTTGTTTGTTTTGCCCACCTTTGGGCATGACTTCATTCATCTCTTATGTTGAGCACAAACAACATGCATTATAAGCAGGGTTCCATAAAAGCACAATAACAAAATGAGAAGAAAAAAAAAACATCACCTGGCCCCAAAATATCGCGTCAGATACTTGAGTGTGAAACGAGTATTCGTTAAGTTCTGCACATACATATGAATATGTATATGTATGTATACATTTGTACTTAAGTACGCAAATCGAATTAACATCTAGACCATATACACATAATTTTGTATGTAGAACTTTTATTGGCGGCATTTGTTATGAGTTAATTTTGATTTATATTATATTTCTCTGTTAATTCGCATGCTACAGTTTCTATTTTTGCTCTGCTCAAATACATATTTGCTTATGTACATGTATTTGCCTAAGTGCTTCCTCTATTTAATTGTTTCATACTTGCGCTCGCACTCGCATTACCCATTCTGTCTGATTATTTTCGAAAGTGACGCTTCACGTGTTGAGCGCTTTTGTCACGGCTCAACTGCCAGGGGTCTGTTTGCCTATACCCTGTGTTTAGTTACTGCAAAGGGTGGATTCTATTTGGCAACTATTATTGTACTAATTTAAATTAAGTTTTTTATATTTGTATCTGTTCATTTGAAATGTATCTATATGTTTCTTGCAGCATAGTAAAAAAAAATTATCATATTTTTAGTTTTTGCCATTCAATTGGCACTAATAAATATGAATTTATATATCTTGTGATTCTATATGGATATATTAAATACATTTTACTATACTTTTATTTTTTAGAACTCTTGCTAAAATAATTTAGACTAAACTCTAGGCAAATATGTATGGCACTTTACAAGCATTATTTCTTAGCTTAGTAAAATGTTTTCCCTTTGCCAAGTATCGAAAGCATTAAATTTATAAAATTTAAACTATTTTTAATAGAGCAACAAAGCGTCGATGCCTTATGAAAAATTATGCTTATTTGTTTTCCTCTCCATATTTGATTGCCTTAAAGGTATACACGTCTACCTCTTTGTTATTTGTTTGTTGTATTTATCATGCTTTTCAGTTGTTCGGCTTAGTTTACCCGAGCGGAAGCATCGCCTCTGAACTTTTCACGTTTACCTGTATGCATGTGTGTGTGTGTGTGTGTGCTTGTGCTTTAATAAGCGCTACATATACCTGATTTTGTTTACCTGCCTGATATATGCAAACTAAGTATTAACATCAGCCAATTGTGTATATTTTTTAGATTTATATCTCATATTTCATGCAATCCTTTGTACATTTTCATGTGTATATCCCAGGCTCATCTCGTTTGTATGAATACATATTGTTACTGAAACTATTTAATCATTGTTCAAGCAGTTGCTGCCATACTAACAGCTTGTACTGATCCAAGCCTATCGTTACTTTTCTCTATCATTTTAGATATACTGCCCTGGAAGCTATCAGCGCAGTCTCTCCATTTTGGTAAACCACATTAATATAACAATTGCCCATCCTTTAGCCCACATAAAACTCAACATAATAGATGCACTGAATTTGTATAGAAACTAACCACACGAAAGGTTGACCTGAATTTGTTGCACATGATGTCAAAGGTTTTATCGATTCTCTTGAGTACGACCTTCACTTGTCTAACTGAGAAGCACAACTCATCCAAGAGCTGAGTGCCTGAATGATTAATTCAGGCATGTCATGCATAATTTAAGTGTAATTTAATGTGCTTGTGATAATCTCAGCTCATAACTTTCAGGCACTTTCCATGCACACATAAGTCATGCGATTAATATTTACCTAACTTTCCATACTCGAAACCGTTTAAAGCCATATTCATGATGTTTTTGTATCTATGTAAATGCACAAGATGCAGCTTTATCTGAATTCATTTTGCCGCCCGCCTTTTAAGGCGAACCGACTGACAGTCGTGCTAATATTGACATTGAAAATGGTGTCTAGTGGAAAAACTCGAAACCCAAGACCGAACCCGAAGCCGAGACCCGTTCCTACGCTGAGAATGAGTCAAGGTTTTAGCTTTTCTATTTCTGTTTCTATTTTGATGGAAGAGGAAAAGTGAAAAAAGCTAATAACTGCAGGTGCAATCAGTTTTATGGTTTGTGAGTTTTCTTTTTGTTGACTCATGGCCATCGAATGCTCCATTTGGGCCGCAAATTGCCGTGGCGAGAGACCTTCACACAATTGATGCTAATCAAATAAATTGTTTATAATACACACTCTTACTATAGTTGCGAAATTTGCCGGAATTGACACAATTGTCGGCACCGGCAACCAAAAGTAAAAGGCAAACAAACAAAAATAAATAAATTAAATGTATTCCACATTTTATGTTTCTATAGCAAAAAAGTTGTGCGCGAAAAGCCAAGAAAAATGAACTTCTCACACATTGTTTTTTTTTTTTGCA